CAGTCGGTCTGCAGAAACAGGAGGACGAGAAGAAATACAAGCCTCCCAAGGCTGCCCTACACCTGCAGGGGACAGAATCGGAAGAAGAAAACGCCCAGATTCATGCTCCCATGTTTTTGTTCCGTGCGTCGGACGATGCCAGGGCGCCATATACCACGTGCACCAATTGTCTCGCGCCGTCTGCGTTTCTCGTCAGATGATGGAGGAGGCCGGCGGGGGGCAAGACCACTGGGGCTGCGCCGCCGCCGGCTCGTCCGCCACCACAGCGGGGAGGGGCCCACCTCGAAGCAAGATGACCCGCCTTAGGAACGCCGTAACGCCGGACAACAGGGGCAAGAGCAAGGCCGGCCTCAACGGCGTCGGCGTGTCCGCCGGCAGCAGCAACAGCGGCGGCGGTAGCAGCAGCAGCAGCAGCAGCAGCAGCAAGAACGAGGCAAGGTGTGCCGCCGGCGTGATCGAGAACGTTTGCCTGCTCGGCGCGCCTGTGGGAGCCACCGCGGCCCGGTGGGAGCGCGTCGCGAGGATGGCCCACGGTAGGGTCATCAACGGGTACTCCAAGTCCGACGTCATCATCGGCCTTGTGTTCAGGGCCAAGAGCTTGTCGCTGTCCGTTTCCGGCATCCAAAAGGTGTGCGGGGCTTGCGTTCATCGACGTTTGTTTGTGTCACGTCGGTTTTTCTTTTGGAAGCCCGGCGTGGTCGGGACATGTTGTGCAAGACTTCCCGCCGTTGGTGTTCTCTCCCAAGCGACCTACCTACGTTCCTCCTGTGTGACCCCGCCTGATACGCCAGAAATGTATGCGGGAAGGTGTGTAGACTGTCGCCAGAATAGGTGGGACGAACACACAAACAAGAGAAGGTATCAGAGGTTCAGAAAAGGTACATGATGGATGTCATGTGGTAGTGCTTTCCTTGCCGACGGCGAAATTAACGCAATGTGGCACACACGAGACCCACGCGCAGAGAGATGCATTCTCCAATCGATAAGCTCACGAGCATGTCTTGAGCACGCCATGAGCATGCTATGAGTATCTCATGAGTATTCTATGAGTATGTCATGCCATACCCTTGGCAATTTGTTGGCGAGTGTTACTGTTGGCATAGAAAGGGCGTACTTCGGTTAGCATAGATATCATGCTACCCTCTACAGCTCCTGCTCCGTTACATGTCACGAACCACTCACTACTGTACCTTTGATCGATGCGCTCCCGGCGCGGTGAAACGTTTTTGTACGTTTCGCCTGGGTGATCCCAGGTGTCGGCGGTGGGCGTAGAGAACGTCGACCTCTCCTCGGTCGTCGGGTCCAACCACTTCAACTACAACCGCAAGATGCCAGAGATCCTTGAGCTGCTGGATCTTGACAACACCTCCACGTATATCGGCCGCGGCGACTCTCCCGAGGAGATCTCTCCAGCCGTTGCGGCGGGGCAGCGTTATGGGAGCGATAACGTCGTGGTGTACGGCACTACCGTAGTACCGCCGTAAAGTAAAGCTTACACCAGGTGGAATGTGATGCACATGGCGAATCCGTCTTATGTATGACGTGTAGCAGAGCTGCTTCTTGTATGAGAGGAGGAGGAGCCGTCTTATGTATGGCACGTAGCAGAATCGCGTCCTGTATGACATGAGGCAGAGCGGTCTTATGTACGACACGAGCTAAAAGCCGTCTCATGTGCGACATGCGTCAGAGCTGCCTCTTGTACGACACGAGGCAAAGCCGTCCTTCTTATGTATGACATGTAGCAGAAGCCGCCTTTTGTATGACGTGAGAAATAACCGTGACGTGTGCCAAAGCCATTTTATCTTCCGTATGACACGAGCCCAAGCCGTCTCATGCAGGACATGCGGCAAAGCCGGCACAGCTGGCGACATCGTGTCGCTCGATGAAAAAACATGAACGTGTTTGTAGTAAGCCAGGATTTTTCTTTTTCTTGGAGTGCCTGAGCGTTCGTCTCTTCTTGCGATAGGCGCAATGTCGGCGTTCGGCGATTGTGTAGATAGACCTTGGTTGGCTGGTTGGATGTTCTTCGCTCCTGTTGTGGGGGAGGTCCATGGAGGTGCAAACGCCCACTTTCCCAAATAGTTCTCCAATTGTTCCCTATTGCAAGTTGGGGTTTCTGCAGCGACTGAAAAAGTCCGACTGTATCATTGTTTGTGACAGAAACTCTCAAGAGGACCATAATTTTTCTTACAAAATCTTGGCCTAGAAACTGAGACGTTCGAATCAAGTCATTTGGGAGTGGTCGGCCAGGAATTACCCCCGTTGCTCTCTCTCTGTCGCTCTCTCTCCTCTCTCGTCATACGTACCAATTGCTTTTCGTGCCAACCAGACCCTCGGGTCTTGCACAAGTATCATCGTCCTCTAAAGAATGGTACCTGACTGCCAATTACAGCAGCATTTACAGTTTCACACGGACAGACCACGCCTAATTTAGTCCACAGCCACCACCATCACCACACTTTTTGGCCATTGTGCGATTGCTGTGACGTGGCGACATCTGGGTCTTTCCACCTGCTACCGGCAATCTTAGCCCTCTAAGGTAGTACCGTAGTCAAGACCGACAGACGAGAAAAGTGTCCAAAACCAAACAACGGACACTGTAGACTACAGCAGCCAGGAAGGGGCACAACGTTGCAGTCTCCTACATGACAAAGTTGGCGCCACTGCCGCCTTTGCCTTCAAGCCGCGATGAGCCCACATGGAGTGAGTAACGACTCGGGTTAAAAGTTACGAAGCCGTTTCGGACGGCAAACAAACATGGCGTGTGAACGCAGCGCGAAATCATCACTTGTTGTTGAGACCAATAGTCCCAGGAGTATCTTCTTGAAACGTTGCGTTGCACCTAGATACAGCAGTATCAGCGACTGGAAACTACTGTCGCCGCTATCATGTCCTCTACCTCAAATATTTGGCTGAAACAATATTAGTCCGGTTTCTATCCCGTGGTACTACAGGCGGGCGCGTGCTTCTCTGATACACGTGTTGCTTCGGCAAGCCTGACGCAAACTGCTGCAAGGCTGACTCCTCGCATGCCCAAAGGGTCTCCACTAAATATTGGTAGGCATACGCTACCACGCCCTCTCCCCTTGGGTTCCGAGTTGTCGAAGACCTTCCCACCGAAAATAGCTCACCCGCTTCACTCGCTCAAATCCCACACATACAAATACCGTGAGATTCTCCTACGGTATTCCCATTCCGGTGGTGACGTCAAACGCTGCAGTCTCGAAGGGGGAAAGCCCGCTGCCACCGCCGTTTCAAAACCTTCAAAATCAAAGGCTACGCGTACAAAGATGTCACCATGCCGCCGCCGCCGTCGCCGCCGCCATTTCAACCAAAAAAACCTTCAAACCAAGGCTAGGCTTTGACGGGCACTCCATACAATTAGGGCGACCAGCCGACGATGCGGTCGGGGCTTGCGGCGCTCACTCCTCCGCCTCCTGCCGCCGCCTCTCCCCGCCACCGCGGGTCCTCCACGGCAGCAGCAGCAGCAGCAGCAGCCCTGTCTTGGACAACCACGACGTCTTCGGCGAAAGTTACCCCTCTCCTGACGGCCTTCTTGCCCTTGCCCTTGCCCTTGCCCTTGCCTTTCCCCTTACCATTCCCTTGGCGTGCCGATGACAACGACCCCGCGTCTCCCTCGCCGTTCTCCTCTTCCTCCTCCTCCTCCTCGCCGCCCCTCTGCTTCTGCTTGTCCTTCCCACCGCCGTCACCCCCCTGAGCAGCGGCCGCCTTCGACGACCTCAAGCTTGTCAACAGGAAGTGCACCTTGGCGTGCTCTTGACGTGACGATGCGGACAACCCGCCACCGCCGGCAACCCTCTTGCCGCTGCCGCCAGACCGGGGACGTTTCCTCCCCCTCCCCTCCCACGGGCTCTTTTCTCTAGGCTTTTTTCTCGGAGGGGTCGGGGTTGATCCGCCCACCCCCCCATTGGCTGGAAAACGGCCATCAACGCCGCCCGCGGCACCCGCCCCACGCAGAGGGGAAGAAGAATGAGCGGTATGACCGTTGGGGCTACCGTTTGTCGGAGAAAGCGAACCCCAGCGAGACCCCGGGGTAGCGGTGGGGGCGGCGTTCCGAGTCTTGTCGTCGCTGTTGACGTAGGAACGGAGCTCTTGTTCCATCGTGTCCTTCATGATGAGCTGCACCACAGACACCGAGCCCTTAGCGCCCATGCGGTTTGCGCGAGCAACCACCTTGGTATACGAATGTGGTAAACAGCAACGGGGACAGGGGGGATGGGGGAGAAGCCGTCAAAGGCCGATGTTACTGTATCCGGCCGAAGCACACACGCCGGGGCACAATTAAATACCATTTTTCAACATGTGTCTATCTTGAAAAATTGTACCGAACGGTGTGAAGACTGACGCCCAGAACAAATTGGCTTGACACTAGAAACACATGAAGGGGGTGCAAAAATGAGATGGCAAAAAAAAAATATATATATATATACAACGGTGTTGCGCTCTCCCGACACCTGCACACCCACCCGTAACCGACAGTACCGTCAGTGGGCCCCCCTATTCCTCCTCACCTGCGTTTCCAAAGAACGGTCCCAGATCTGGTCCATCAAGAACATGTGCGTCACGAAGCTGAGGTCAAGGCCGTGGGCCCCCCTTTTGCCCAGCAGCAACACGAAGCACTCGGGGTCGGTGCGGAACCTCTCCAGTTCCTTGGCCCTGGTTTTACACGAAAAAGCAGGCAAAGAGACGACGGGAAACAATCGCGAAGGATCAGCAGGTAGATCATACAACATGACGCGGGCGATGCCATCGCGAATCAACGCATATCCGTTTTGGTGTATTTTACCGACAGAGACGCCATGTGTACTTTTTCAGGTCCTGAGAAAGAATATTCCAGGAAATGAAGAAAGCCATCCCACTCGCCCTTCCAAACAAAAACGTTCAACAACAAAAACATTTTGAGCCTGCCACTGCAAGTACTTTCCAAAAAAAAGTCCAGTCTTCGGGCCTCGACGTCTCAAAAAGAAACTTCAGTTGACAGCATCACACGGCACGTGCCACCACATAAAAAACTCTACACAATTTTTTTGAACGACCCTCGTTCCTTGGGGAAACAATCAACCCGGAATGTATAGGTTTTAGCGTGTTAGGGTTCAAGTTTTTATATCTCGTGAATATTGAACCTTCGATTTCTGAAAGGGTACCACCGATTTCTTAGGTGGCGCGCTAGGTTGTCTCTGTGTCCACACAAAAGACGTGCAGAGACAACACGTTTTCTTGCATCCGATACGGTGCAAGCGACCTGGCCATGCCCCCCAGGCGGAACAAGGAGCTCGAGATGTTCATGGTTCCCCCTTACTGTCCCATCTGAAGGGCCTCTGTTGACTCCTCAACGCTATTTACGTATCTCAAAGCGGGGTTGGTGGCTCGGCCTTCCCACTACAACCTGGGGAGGCCGCGGCTGGGGAATCCGCTGAGGGTATATGTAACTCTCCGGTCCACATGGCACATACCTACCTAGAGCCCAAAGACACCTTACCAACTAGGAATCAAGGGCATGAGTTGACTCGTCTTGCAGGCTTGCTCCGTACTATAATACCGTACAAGTAGGTGACAGCAGATATCACCATCCCCCGGACCGATTTTTCAAGCTCCATTTCTCCACAGCAGAAAGAGTGGCAGCGCCGACAACGGTGCCGTTGAAGCCCTCTCATCATTCGAGAGGCTTTCCGAAAACGTATCGTTTCATTCATGCATCCTCTTCGTCACGGAGTAATCGAGCCTTCAAACTCGGTCCAGGGGGTGCGGTAACTTGTGTCATCCTCGGTACTCGCTCGCGAAGCTTTTACACCTCAGGTTAAGGATTGCCTTATCGCTGCATGCGCGCGCCTGCAATTCTCGTATTAACGCTTGCTTGCACGGGAGAAAACACTCGGTGGTTGTCAAGGATTACGCTACTGTACACTTTATAAAATTGTAATACCCCCTCTCGCCTGTTCTTGCCCCAGAACTCCGCGACGCACTTCTCTCCTCTTCTCTGCCAGCCTTCTTCGGGAAAACCGCCCAACTCTCGGAGAAACTTGTCTCCCACGATCTGCAGACAGGTGCGGAAACGGCGTAGTGCCGGAATGGAGCAACTAGTGAACTAGTGTACGGGCGCGCTACACGTGTATACTGTATCGATACTCGTTGGATATGAGGATACTTGGCGTCGTTGTAAGGTACTGAAGTTCTTGAAGGCGCATCAGGATGCCAGCCCCGTCCGCTGTTGGCTTCGTTCTCTCCACATTGTTGTTGTGTGCGATGGTCGTACATGCACAGCACTTGTTTATTGGATCAATTTCACCAACGAACACACTTTCGAACCTGTTCGTATCGTTCGGTCGATCTCTCGCGACACTGCTGCTATCCCTCTATATGGTGCAACGTGTCAAAACGCCAAATAACTCCGCTGTACTCACGTTGAGGACCGGAAGAAACTGCGAGAACACGATGGCCTTCAACGGACGATAGTCTCCCCTGCTCGCGCACGACGGCATGGAAACGACGAAAAAACACTTGTCATGAACTGGCAGTCATACATATATCTGTTGTGGCCAATACCTATCCGTTGAAACAGCAACCAGGCGTGTTTTTTCCCATGAAAGCAAGCGTAGTACGAGTAAAGCAGGCGCGCCTACATGCCGCACATGCGGCGATAGAAAAGTCCTTAACCTAAGGACAAGATGCGTGCTCCTCAGTGTTTCTCTCCTGCTTACCGTCTCCTGTTCGATGACTTGGCCTTGTCCCGAATACCCTTCAGCTGCTCAATTGCGTAGAACGCCTTGCTGTGCATCTCTAGCTCCTCCCCCTCCTCCTCAACCTCCAAACCCCCCCCGCCACCGGGGGACGCCGGACTACCAGCCCCCGGAGGGGACGACCCGGACGTTCCCCCCCCTCCCGTCCCGCTCGATGCCCCCCCACCTCCCTGGTGGGGTGACAACGCTTGGTGAAGGATAGCAACGTTTGGAGAAGAAGGGCTCGCCGGCGTCGAGTTCGCCTGCACAAACGCGGAATACGTGGGGGGGGGGGGTTCCGTGAGGGGTGTTGCAGAACGATATCGATGCAAGGTATGGCATTCGGCAGTGTTGGCAAGACATCCACCTCCGATTGAAATTGAAATCTCTAGCCACGCTGACAACGCAATAGCAACGTGAACACACGCATCACCAAGGCGTGCGTTTACCACATCAGGAAGTCGAAAGCGCTACATAGAGGTGCTTCCATTCCAGCCCACGAAAGGCACCCAAAACTTAAAAAAAACTAAATGGCAGGAATCAAATTTACTTCGTCCTAGTGTAGGCGGACACCGACAGTGCGCACTCCTACACCCGACCCGTTCTGAGTCGTTGGTGCAAACCTCGTCCGTCTTGTGCACCACCCCGTCCTGTAGGTGTTCCGAAATTTCCTGTAAATTTCCGAAGCTACATGTACCCTCATCTCTCGGCGTCACGGGAAGTGTCCCGGCGAACCCTTCCGTGAAATTCACGAGACTTCCGTGGAAGAAGTTTCTGCGGTAGTACATTAGCACCGGAAGTCAACAACACCCACCGCAATTGGACACGTGGGGGGGGGGGGGGGGGGGGGGTC